AAAAATGTAAAACTGTGCCTCCCAAGATTGTAAGATACCAGGAACTGTGACTTCATTATTCCATGGTCTGTACAGCTGAGGTTTTCACAGTACATGTTTTTATCACTGTATAGATTTGTATTTTTCATCCATAGCAAATCAATTTGAATTCCTCAAGTCTGTATCTAAGCAGAGGGTTCACAAGTACAGAAAACTTAACTCCTTTCAGAGGAAAAAAAAAATGCCAATGTCAACCAAAATCTACAACTGTGTGTTTATCCCTATAGTTCTTAGACAACATCAACTTCATTAGCTTCTTCCACCTTTAAGAACTACAGCTCTCCTCAGCACAACACCAGACACAGGAATTAATCTGTATACTCACCAGATTAAGGATGTATTAATCTTACAAACACACACCTCATGTAAGGAACTAAAATCATATATGCTACAGTATTACAGAGTTTGCTAGAGTCAAGGCTCAGAAGACAGGATCCAAAAACTCCTAAGTACACAAAATTACAATGAGAATTTTGGAAGTACAGCCAAAGATATCCTTTGGTGAAATTCCTACCTGTCATGTTGGCCAAAGAAACGGGCATCAACTTGCCCATCTTTATCCCTCAGTGCTTTAGCAGGCCAGAATGGAAAGCCTTTGAGTTTAGCCCAGACCAAAGGGTGGGGATTGCTCTAGAGGAAGAGGCAAAATACAGAGTAAGAAAACGGAAGAAGTAGTAGCTTCAAATCTGACAATAAACATGATTTATTTTTAAATTGTATATATTACTTAGATTCAATAAAGATCCAACATGCACAAGGCACTTGCCAAATACAAGATTCCATTTTACTATATATGCAATAAATCCTGAGAGGACAAAATGATAAAATTATATTAAAAACCCAAAAACATAAAACCTTATGTATCTCAATTAAACTCATCGTAATTGCACTTCCTTTATTCATGCAGCATAACCTAAGTTAGGCTAGGGCCAATCCTTGCAATGCTCTAACGTTCCTTTAAGCCTGTGTCCTGGCAGAGCACAAGACACTGCAAAGTCCTTGACTTAGGATAAGCACTACTTAGCAACAACCAAAACATCAGTGTGTTATCAACATTATTCTCATACAAAATCCAGAACACAGCACTATACCAGCTACTAAGAAGAAAATGAACTCTAGCCCAGCTGAAACCAGGACAGTCCTAGAAAGAGCTTGATGGATTATACAGTTCTGCTCAAGAACCTTAAGGAGTCTTCCCAAATTTGGTGCAATAAACAAAACCAGAAAACAGACAAGCTATCAACAGGTCACGAAAGGAAAATCAAGTCTAAATTCTCAGATGTAGAGAGAGACATGCACATTGCAGAAATCCTCCCTGATACACAGATGGCACAGGAGCAGTTACCTTATATTTGAGGGCAGAGAACTTGTGAACTGATTGCCGACACCTCTTAACAGTTATGCCTGACTGAACCAATCCTTTGGTGAAAAAATACAATCTCACAGCTAAACTGATAGTCTGACTCCACGAAGAACAAGATATGCCAGTACAAGCTACCTGTTAAACTACAGCAGCTTTCCTTGCCTCAGTAACCACCACAGGGTTCAAACAAAGGGGATAACAGCAACAGTCAAATGAGAACTGCTGGTTTAATGTAGTAGCTAGACTAGCATAATCCTTAACTTACACAAGGCTCACAAAACCAATTTTCTCGTTTTTGGCAAGCAGCTAAATAACATTCCGGACATACTTCAATTTCATTCATCTGCAAAGAAAAAGCAAAGTTGTTGGAGAGATTAAAGAGAGTCCAAAGTGTGATCAGTATATAAAATTAGCCTGTTTAGTTTGCTAGCACCATTTCCCACAAATCTGTGGTCATAAATTGAAATTTTCCCAGTGGCCAAGAAGGCCAGAGGCACTCTGGGTGTGTGGGCAACAGTGTGGCCAGCAGGAGCACATAAAATGAAAGGGTCCACAGTGTAATGGGTCAGATCCTCAGGTAATTTATGTCAATGAAATACTGAATATATTGCATTTAGAGTAGTAAGTGTTTGTAATATTAAACATGATAGACTGGCACTGACATAATGTCAGTGCAAATCACCAGCCAAGAATGCATGCAGCCATTTCTGCATTTATTCAGAGGAATTTCATATTGTTACAGCACAAGAACCACCAAAAAATGGATCTATGCATTTGAAGATCTTGGTCTCTTTTTCCAACTCCAAATACTCACTAACAAGACAGGTGTCTGTCTAAATCCATATATGTACTTCTCCTCCCTCCTCTTCCCTCCCCACAAGTCTTACTACCCTGTGACTATCCTAATGGAAGATACATCAGCAACATCCTTGCAAAACACTATTCTGGAGCCCGTGGATATGCATACCAAAACATAAGAAAGCCTACAAAAATTATAATTCTGCAATACACACATTTGAAAACATGAATCATTTCACCTATAAATATGTGAAATGAACACTTTAAAAACCCAGAACAATTAAGTTAATTGGGGCACTCATACCTCATGCTCACAGATTTTGATGATGACTTTTGCTGTCTGTGTCAATTTGTGATTTCCTGAGGAAACAATCAAATGCTTTAATCAAGAAAATTGTTGTGCTAGGATGATGAGAAAAATCAACAGTTTTCAGATTTAAAAGCTAACCATGAAAACAAAAGAGAACACCTTAAGGTGGAATGAGGAAGTGATAGCACAAGTTGTGTTTGGCCCTACAGTTCAGTATGTCAGTTGTTAAAAAAATCTGCTGTGTTTAGGTACAGTGGTCACTTACAGGAAGATAATTTGAGCATTTGCCAACTAGAAGTCTACAAATTGCACCATGACTTTGACTATTTCAAAGTTTCATATTTCAGGATGTAAGTACATATTAATACTTACCCCCATTGTAAATAATGCAGTTGTGCAAAATCCATTTGGCATCAGCCAAAAATGCTTCAGTGCAACCGTACATTTTCTTTTTAACATTCTGTAAAGAAGAGGTTAAGAATGTATCAGGAACTAGAAATGAGTACAAAGTGACAGCTTCATCCTGATTGTCACTTCCTATCAAGTTCTACAACTCATAGAACCTTCCCCTGGCAATGCTCACAGCCAGGTTAGATGGAGCTCTGAGCAACCTGGTCTGGTAGAAGGCATCCCTGCCCATAGCAGGGGGTTGGAGCAAGATGAGCTTTAAAGTCCCTTCCAACCCAAACCAGTCCATGATTCTATGACACTTACTGCAAGACTTACAATTCTAAATGCTTCAGAATCTCTCAAATTTAGGATGTCTTTTGACTGCCCTGAAAATACATGAACTATTTAAATAATTATTTAGATCAACATCTTCAACATTTCAGAAAAACCTGTTAGTTTCCTGACACATCTGACATCTCAAGCTGGCAGCCCATGGCTTGGACAGGTGACTCTCTGCTGGGGTAAGAACTGGCTGGGCTAGTAACCACAGTAGGGTTGGACTCAATCTTTGAGGTCTCTTCCAACATGACTGATTCTATGATTCCTACTGGTTCAGACAATAGTGAACTTGTTCAATTGGCTTCTGATTGTTCTTAACCTGGAACTGAAACGACTTTGATTTAAAAAAAAACACCCCATCAAAATAATGTCAAGCAACTTCTCTCTCCCTGCCATCAAACACTTCTGAAATCTAACAGATGGCAAGCAAGCTCAAGGAACCTTCCTCTGTTAGCTTCATACAAACCTTCTCTAATGTACAAAGGTCCATTGGATGAAAGATATACTCTGCATAATCTGGGTGTTGATCCAGTGAAACTGGCTTTTGAAATGGCTCTGTCTGTTAGGGAAAAAAACACACCAAACTGCTTACTAATACTGAACAGTTTCACCAATGCCACAAGACTCACTAACTTTCTACTACTTCCAACTGTGTTATCAGAGAAGATTTTTTTGAACATAATTATAAAATGTTATGAGGCAATAAATTATCAGCTGAACAACAAGAACTAAAAGGTCTCATTAACTGACTTTACATATGCTGGACACAATAAGTTGCATAAATTAGGAGTTTTGTAAAAGGAACTCTTAGGATTTACAGTAGGGTTTTCGTGGTGAGTATCAGATAAGGCTAAACAGACCATTTTTAGCAGAATCAAGACACTAAATTTCCAACTCACTAGACTCACAAATACTTTTTTCCAGACTCTCATTAGAATCACAACATTTTCAACAGGTATAATCAATAACATAAGTGTCTGTGCCTAGGGCTCCTGTCCATATAACTGTACTGGTGAGAGATCATGTCTCCTCATTCCCCTTGAATCTTGTCTACTTTCAGAGAGTGAGAAATTGTATTTTCACTACACCTACTGAAAATACATCCAGAAGTTATATCCAGAAATTAAATTTTAAATGCACTCTAAAACAGTCTATACAACCTAACGTGTCTGTGCTAGACAGGTGGCAGACAGCAGTGAAACTGTCACATACAATCTGATAAACCAAACAAGGCTCAGCATCCACTAAAGGAAGCAAAACTCAGCATTATGACAAACATATGATCCAAATATTTAAAGAAAAAAAATCCAACCAAAATTTCCTTACCCCTGGCTGTTTCATTTTGTGTAGTGCAAACTTCAGTAGATATGAAAGCTGTTCGATGGTGAGCATTGTCATTGCTTTGCTCTGTGTTTCTATGCATTCTGCAACTGTGATTTTCTAAAAGTTCAGATTAAAAAAAAGGTTTTGTCAGCAAACATTTCTAGGCAAATCCTTCTCCACTGAAACATTCTGGCATTCAAATGGAAGATAACAGCTACTTCATAAGAAACAAAACGTTCCTGATGATGCAGTGCAAGCACTGCAGATGTTTGTTTTATTTGGGTTTTGCTCTGAGTATGTTCATCATTTTAAAAAAAGGAAGAAAAGGTGTGAATACATAAAATTCCCAAATACAGTGTGGGTTCACCGCAATGTGAACAAGTGAGAAGGTCATGTGGGCTCTAATACAGCAAGTGATCAAAGAAAAACACCCAATAAACCAACCTGCTTTCACTACAGATACTTGGATGCTAAGTATTCTCTCCCCAGAAATCACTGGAGAGGAATGATTAAATTCTTCATCAGCCCCACATAAAAAAATAGTAATCAATACCCACTTGTTCATGTAGCCCCTACAGTGCCACTTTTTCTGCACTGTTGAAGAGCTGATCAGCCCACTAGAAGAAGCAGAAGTTAAACTAGTCAAAACTGCAGAATGTTTTCAGAATTAGTGGTGCCTGGTGAAGAGATCACTCTGACATGGTGCTTCTCTAGAGCTGGAAACACAGAGGAGGTTGCAGACTCGTGGTAAGAAGGCAAACACACCCCAGGTACACGCAAAGTGGTGAAGCAGCCATGGATGCCTCCTCCTCTGTACAAATTTTTCTGGCACCTTTACCAAGAGGCAATGTAGGAATAAACCAGAAACATTTCAGAACACATTTGACAAAGCTGCTTAAAATCTCAAAAACAAGAAAGAAATCCACTCCTTTTATCAAACTAACCTCACATTCTGGGCAAAACCAATCCCCCTCTGGTTCGGCTGTCAGTTTCAGACACTTAGCATGATAAACCCGAGGACAGAGTTCACAGCAGAGGACTTGGCCTTCCCGATGACAAACCCAGCAATAGAAATCATTCCGTCCATCCTGTGGTACAACATCAACAGGGTCTGTGGTGAGTGGCTGCTTCATATAGTAAAACGGACCATGTCTTAGTTCTGACTGAAATGTAGGCAAGAAAAACAGGTTTGGTTTCAAAACAAATTTGCATTTTTTCCAGATCATAATATTCATAATATATAAGCAAACAGCAATTTACAGAGTTTGACTAACATTTATGCAAGCACAGTATCTCAGTCATGGCACAAAATCATTCATAGAGAAGTTTACTCCTGATTCAGATGTCGAACGACAGTTTGCACTCAAGACCAGAAATAAACTTTTGAGGCAAGTGAAGGCATCGAGTGCAAGACATGCAATCCAACAACAGTCAGCAAACACTTAGCTTCAGGAAAGAAGTATTGCTATAGAAGCTATTAGGTCCTCTCAATTCAGAATTCCATGAGGCTGTGCAAGCTATAAACTGAGATATTTAGTGGTGGCTAAACCTGGGGCAACTGAAGAAGTTAGTCCTGCGAGAAGAAGTCAAACACCATGCAAATCTGTGACAGTTTGCAGCAGTTTACAGCTTTGCACCACGAAGCAAGCCAGTGCTGATTTTGATTAATAAGGCAAACTGTAGAGAAGAATGACAAAGGAGCAAATCACATCCTGAGCAGCCACCTCCACTACAGGAGCAGGAACACTGGGAGAGATTTCATTCAGCACCTAAACACATATCAGAATTTAACACTCACAATCTCCACAGGTTTGCCTGCACTAGAAAAGAGTGTTAACTTCATAACCTGCATGAACTGCTCTTCCACTCGAAAAGCTCAGAGATAACACAGCTGATGTCAAAACACAAGAAGCCAAGAGCCTGGGATGGCTCTGAAATGGCTCCACAGATGCCCAAAGGTTCTTATATCAGCTTTGAAGAGCTGCTAACATTTATTGGAAAACTACATTCTATTTATGACAAGGGAACTTAAATTCTGCTTGGTATTAATAATAGGGGTGGTTTGCTGAGGAGGGCACAGAGGGAAACAATCTTGAGATTTTAGGCAGTTTGTTCACTGTGACTTTTTTGTGTGATGTCAAACCAATTGCTGGTGACATTACTTGAACTACACAAACACTTGTAGGCTGCAGAACCATTTTGTTTGCTTCTAAGGTCATTTTGCATGTGTCCTACACCATTTACACATCTGCACCTTCTGAGACCCTTGAGCTGTCACATGCCCATGTGATTCATAGAACAGTGCAACCACATGCATGTTCCATACCTTTGAGGCATCCTGTGCAAAACAGTCACACAGGGCATAAATAATGTCACCAGAAACCACCAGCATGACACTCTGAACTCTGATATTTCTAGATATCTAAAGTTGCAAAGGATGAGGTATAATTATTCATGTGAACAGAGGACCTTCAAGGTAGAAGTGACAACTCAGCTGTAGATGTTCTGTCTCAAAAAAAAAAAAAACCCCACCAGAAGATGTATCATCTGCAATTATCTAACACTATATAATATTGTAGGCAAAGAAAGAATGTTACCCATAAACATTCTGCCACCTAAAATCTCACATGAATTTGTCAGGTTTGGTGGTTTTCATTTTCTATTCTACACACGACAAAGCTACTTGAAGAGACACTTTGTTCACACTACAGAAATGGGCAAGGTGTTATTTCTGTACTTTCTGTGTATGTATATATATATACACACACATTTAATCATGGAGCATGACAAGACTTTCAGAAGGAAGGTTCTGGGAGATTTTGTGGAGTAAGTGGGACAGTGTGAAGGTTTAACTCCATTTCAAATGTACTACTGCTACAGTCATTCAAACAGATACAAAGGCATATGAAAACCCAGAGTGAGGAAGGGAAAGGTGTAATTTCCAGTGCAGAAACATGTTTTGTTTGCAGCTATGTGCACTACAGCTGTGAGACCAAAATCTCAATCTTGCACACGTGGACATGCAGCTATGGGGTATTTCCTGCACTGCAGATAAAGAAAATTACCAGAAGAATTTAAGACATGTTCTGACCTTGAACTGCATATAAGTAGCATATCCACATTAACTTTGTAGGATTCAAAGCTTTTGCTTTAAGACAAACATAAAACCTGTGAAACTATTGCACAGAAACCAGCTCATAACACCCAAACTGAAGTCCATTTTTACTGGAGCATGAGAGGAATTAATTTTCTCTTCAAGGATCCTTGTATCACTTAGACATCTATCACCTTATTTTGCCTAAGCCAAGTTTAAGAAACAGAAAAAAAAAAGGTTCTGAGCCTCAAAAGAGACCCAAAGAACAAACCTAAAGTACTGAAAATTAATGATTCAGTTGCAAAGGACCTTATCACTTGTCCTACTCAGAGGAACATTTTAAGAGTTTTTAACGGTTGTTAAATTTCAAGCTCAAAATATGTGACAGCTTGATTTAAAGTCTTTATTAAAGGTATTAAGACCTGTAGGATGGCATAGAAAACTGAAGAAAAACAACAGTATTCTAAGGCTGTTTTGGGGAGAAAAAGATCACTACTTATATTCAGTTTATTAATACTGAAGCTAGTGGTAAAACAAGCTAACAACCTTAATTCAAACTGACCAATTAAATGTTAGAGGTTCCTGACTTTTCACCTGCCTTTGCTATGTTCTACAGTTAATTCTTTGCTAGTATTTCAGCACTTTAAATACCTGTTGACATCACCGTGAAGATCTGTTACTGCACCCACAACACACTGTACAAAGCTTCATGCAACTACAACTTTAATAATGGTACCTTGAAATACTCAATATTACAAAGCACTTTGTAATGCAGAATATTAAGTTAGAGGTTTCCAGGGATGTTGTCATACCTCAAAACAGAGTTATCAGCCAAGCAGAACCACAGCTATCAACTACATTATACTTGGAATTTAACCTGAGAGCAAAGCAAGTACCCTTTGCTCACATCTGCTTAGCAGTAACAATCTTTAACAGCTCCTGCCACCACATAGAGCAGAGTGTGCACCTACTTTAGCCACAACAATCTTCAGGCATGCCCACTTCAAATTTGACATGCAGGACAGGATTAAATTAAAAACTTGTAAAAGCTAAACAAAACTCAACAGATTATATTTTCTTGCTAACTTGCAATAAACACAGCAAAATAAGCAACTCTGATCAGTTTTCTTCATTAGATATACAACTTTATTCTATCCTGTACATTTCAGGTCTGAGATACCTGGAAAACAGAAGAGGATTTACCAAGGGGAATGTATCAAGTTCAACAACTGCAGCTGTGTTGCATATATTCACGTGTATTTTTTTAATGCATAAATAAGAAGTGGAAATTAATACTCTACAATTCAATTGCACTGTTTATACAATTATGTCTACACTGCACTGTTAGAAGCTCAGACTTCAGTGAGGAAACATCTCCCCAGAAAAGTCTGCAGTGAAGGCTCAGCAACAGTCACACTGGCCCCAGTTCACCACTGCAAACACCTCCACATGCTACTGTTAGACCTCCCAGTTATCCTGAAATACAGTACAGCTGAGACTGGTTTTTAGGGCTGATTTATTCACAGCCTTTGTTCCTGGGCAACTGCAGTGATTAGGAATTTCATTTTCTTTCTTCACGAGTGCAATTGTACCAGGATAATATCTAATGTGGGTGCTGTTATGCCAGGAAAAAGTGCTTTCGACACTGACAACTTAATCCTGTGTTTGTATGATCCTGTGACATGCAAAAAACCAGTGACACACAAAAGCACTCCAAAAAATACACATGTATGTCATTATCACATTAGAGGTAAAATAATTTCAGGAGAGCTAAAGCTTGTTTTCATCTCACCTCCTCCAAGATGATGCAGATGCTTTATAGCATTTGCTATCCAATACAATTCATGTAATTCTTTTCTGTGCATAATACAATGGATAGAAATTTTCAAAGTTCTCCTAAGAACAAATGCTACAAATTCAGTATTCAGGAGGTACTAAAAATAAGGTTTCAAGCATGAAGACTGAAAAGTCAGTGTGACCCTTTTGATTTAAAGAGTTTGGTAGGAGGGGACACTGCCCAGAAATTGTAAGGAAGGGGAGGGAATCTGCAGAGTACCAAGGATGAGCTGACTTTGATAATGACTGGAAGTAGAACAGGACTGAGAGCAGATGAAGAACTTCCACTGACATTATGAGATCTTTCTTAATCTATTTCACCACTGAACATTTTCTTCTAATGGTTTTAATTAGCAACAGCTATTGTTGGGTTTGTTATTGTTTGACATTCCTTCATAACAAGTCTGTTCAAAATGGCATTTCTTGGTTATAAATCTTATTAGCTTTCTGAAATCAAAAGGCAAGACACAGGTCTTTCTCAACTGATGCAAAATAATTAAAAAACCATTCAATCCAAATTATAATGCCAACTACTACCCCCACTGCATTCAAAAATTAACATCCACTTCTAAAGAGTACAAAAACGGAGCTTCCTAAAGAGGAGTGAGCTCCTGATCAGCTGTCTCTACATCCTTTACTGTTTCATATTCTAGCTTAACAAAACCATGACTTCTCTTACCTGCTCTTTATTATTACTGTTCAATAGACCAGGTTTCTTTTTCTTTTTTATAGGACTTGTTGATGCATCTTGTGGTGAGTGGCCATTGGAGGAATGTGGAGGGCTGGGGAATTTCCTTTTTTGTGCTGTGCGTTCGGCGGAGCCAGGATCTGCAACAGGGACAACAACGAGGCTGAAGATAACTGAAAACATCCCAACAAGGCTATGGTTTCTCAGTCACACCCTTCAAAGATTTTAAATTCATTTTTCTTTAAGTAAAGGCATTTGCAACTTCATTCTCTCTGAACAAAATTCAAATGATTCCAACATGAAATGCTCAGCTCAGTGATAAAGAACTCACTGATGTTTTTCAGCAGAAACAAGTTTGAAACCAGCTGTAAAGGACAATCATAGGACAGTGACATGATCTTGACAAAATACAAGTGAAAGTTCATCAGAGTTTAATTTTTCTTTAAGCTTTTAATGCATGCAACAAAGCAAAATTCTAGGTAAAACCATAAATGTCATCAATAGCATAGAGAAACAACAGAACCATCCCCAAAACATATAAATGCACAGGAAAAAAAACCCCCAAACAGTAGTTTTGGCTACTTTCTATACAATTCCATGGAAAATATGGAGCTATATGGTGACTTCTGATTGACCAAAGGCTTGGTAATGTGTGTCATGGTGGTAACACCTGAGAAAGCTATAAATAAAAATGAAAAACACATGAAAATATAGATGGAAGAATATATAACTGAAGGAGGGAAAACAAACATAGGAGCATTTACCCATCCTGACTTTTATTAATCTAGAATAGCCGCACCAGGCTAACAATATCTGGAATTTCAACAATTCTAGGAGTATCTGACACTAGTTCTGCAGGCACAACTCCTCCAGCAGTGCTGCTCAGCAGAAACAATACTGGCTCTCAGAGAAACTTTTCTTTGACATAAGTTATAACATTTTGGCAGAAGGTAAAGCTGCTCAAATAAACAAACAAAAACTTTTCTGAGTTTTGACACTAAGATATGCGATTTTTTTTCCCCTTTTACAGCTGTAGGCAGCATTTAGGACCAGTTACCTTCTGACACACCTAGGCTGAGTGGAATCAATACAATGTGCCTGAGACCATTATTGCTACTTGATGTGTTTTGATTCAAGCAAATCTGCCTCCTACTCCATTTGGCCCAAAATTTAGATTGATTTGACAATACAAAGAACTGCCAGATAAGGTATGTCACCTATATGTGTGAGAAATATAATGTCTGCTTCCTCCCCTCCTCAAGCAATGATGACACTAACTATCCCAACACAGTACAATTCTGCTGACAGGAGACTTGGGTGGGTTTGTTGGTTTAGCTGACTGTGCACAGAAGGTGGCAGAAGAACTCCTTGGGCTGGGATAAGCTTCATCTCTCCCAAGAGAGCTGTGCCAATCCAGCTATCCTGGAAGAAACACTGCAGCATCAGTGTCAGCTAAACCAGAACCCAAAACTAAACCGAAGTGACCAAACCTAAAACCAAACAAGCTCTGAATGCTATTTTTCTCATGAAAGCGGAACAGAGCTTATTCAGCATGGGAACTGTTTGCATTCAGAGTGATGTGCAAAACCAGCATTATACCACATTTCTTCTCAGCACCACATTAAGCCTTCATTTCTTTCTTCTAATTTGCAGCTCTCAACAGTCTTTCTCCACATTCCTAAAGGCAGTCACAAGAAAACTACTCTTACGGTGAAGTGCTGACCATGCCTTAATCCTTGTTTTCCCAATGCAGGGAGATGCGCAGAATTGCCTCTCTACAGCAAAAAAAACCCTCCTCAAAGGACTTGCAAGGACCTCTGAGCTTGAGTTTCTCACCAGCAAATAAAACCATCACCATAACTCCCTGAAGGGACTTTGGCTTTTACTTCCAGCTTGTACCTATGCAGGCACAGATTAAAGCAGGATGGTAACAGGACAGTATAGTTTTCTGCCCTTTGGCTTCCACTTCTTATTTCCAGGCCCAGAACTGCCACCAGTGGAGCACATCAGTTTCCTTTCAGCTCTTCAGCCTCAGACTGTGGGGAGTACAAAGCAGCTGACTGTGACACTGCATTGTGCCTCAGCTCTAAATATGAAAAAGAAAATTAGCTGTAAAGTTCCTGCCCTCATAATGTGATGCTTCTCACACTTAAATGCTGCTTTTTCCTAAACTAACTGATTCAGGGTCAGGAAGAGGGTTAAACTGCTATTAGCTAAACCAAAGCTGAATTGCAATTCAGTCACAACCAAATCAAAGCTATATTTCAGCTGAAAAGGTGCTGATTCAACAGTGATCCTCTGAAATGATAACACAAACACACATGCTTAAGTGATTTCAAAAACTACTTAATGTAATTTTCTTCTGTGGTTCAAGCACCCTGAGCATACTCAGGAACATATAAAAACTGACCTGAAATACACCTTTTTATTTCCCCCACTGGCAAGTTACTGAAATGCACAGAGATTTTCTTGAGGCAATGTAAGATGGAAAAATCAAGGAATAGAGAGGAAAACAGCAATGCACAGGTGTTTTCTTTCATATTTAGTAGTGCTAGTGGAATAGCTCAGTGTCTTTAACTATCATGGTATGTTGCCAATTTCCCAATCTGTGAGAGACCTAACAATATGAACAGTCTTTTAATTCAGTTCAACTAACAAAAGAACCACAGCACCTACTGAAATTGAGTTATAGTTTCCCATTCTAATTAAGCTGCTCAAGCTGCATTTCGGGTGAACCTCACTCATGCCCTGCTTAGCACACACTGCTGCCTCTGCCTCCCTGGCTCTTCCAGCTGTGTGAGCAGCGTTCCTGTAGCTGAGCTGCCAACTAGATCAAGAAATTGATCCCTGGTAAAACAACGTGTCAGGGGGAAAGTTCATTTTTAACCTGGCTCATTTCCCCAGTGTAGTGTTACTTGAACAAAGTGAAACACATCCGAGCAGAAAGAACCAAAGAGACCAAGTTTAAACTCTGCAGTAACTAGGTGACTAGGACAGTTACTTAAGAGGTAGATTCAAGTTTCTGGAAATCTGTGTGATCTCTTCTGTAGTGAGCAAATATTTTTAACAGGTGTTTAATGAGAAGAATGGTCTCACTTTAGGAAGTACCTCACTGTGCCAGCTTGTCGCCAGCTGGCACATATCCCTGCAAACTCCCTGCTCCTACTGAACTCCTACCATATACTGAGCACAACTTACTCAGACTTTTCAGGTAGGCATCAATTTGTACATTAACACAACTGAAAAGGCTGAGATCATGTGCAATTACTCCAAAGGTTAATCAGAAATGAAATGTTCCATGTACTGAAATTAACATTTTATTGATAAACCAATTGCACTAACTGCCAAGCAAGCTTAATCCACTTATTTCTTGATGTCTTGGTGGTTTTGCATTCTTAGCACCATTTTAAAATTGTGCTTCCTGCTCAAGTGAAAAAACAGACACCTGAAAGAACTTTTTTAACTCTCAGTAAAAGGTACCTGGTTTTACATCCCTAGGTTTATATTAAGTGGTCTGATGTTGCCAAGGTGGACATAAGTACCTCTGAGTGCTCTTGCAAATCACCCATTGGGGAACAACAAGCTAACCTGAGCTTCACCTGAAGCTTTAAATCTTCTTTTCAATATGCCACCACATGACTAAAGGATTAGTAACTGCTGCTCCCAGGAGACAGACTAAAGCACACCTAAACCCTAAAGCAACTTAATTTCACACTTTATGACTGTCTTAGAGTCAAATTGCATGTGATGGCAATGCAGTATTTAAGCAGATAACTATGACAATGACTTAATAGTTTAACTCAGAAAAAAACTATAAAGATAAAAGTATGCAATTGTGTATCAGGGGTCTTATCTTGCTGCAGCATATGGAACACAGATCACAACCAAATCTTTTCATGCTCTGTACCTTGCCAAGTGCTGTGCTGTAAACATTTCATACCAGTGATTCCTGACAACTAACTCAGAAATCTCATTTTTCTCAATGGAAGCAGGTGCCAACTCAGAAAATGTGTGAAAGTAGGATGTTGTTTTCCCTGCTTTTTCTGTGATACTCAAATGTAATTCTTCTTGAAAATAAGGAGCATCAACATGCTTTACTGTAAGAACACAGCATGAACTGCTCAGTACGAAAGATACTGACAGTGATGAGTTACATACCTTTACACTCCTTTGCTGGTTTTTTTTAAATTAAAAAACTTGCTTAAGCTAAATGCAAATCAAAGTAAGGCCAGACTAAAACCATAATCAAATCATGTCTACATATGTATTTCTAGGCATCTGTTTTATCTGCATTAGTTTCTGTACCAGTAAGGCCTTAATGAGAGCTGAAATCCACACTGAAGTCTTCACAGCCTTCCACAGACACAATCTGTTCCCTTTTTTAGCACATATAGCCTAAATTAATAGAAGAACTCAAAAACTAATTTCAGCTGAATCAGCATAGCAACAAGTCCCAGTGCCAGTAAAAGGGAAAAGGATCACATGAAGGAGGATGCCAGTGCAGCAGGTCTGACCCAGAGCAGAACATATTGCCTTGGTGTTGCATCCTCAATGCCATGGATATTAAGCCAATTAAGGAAAGCCTGAGTAAATCAGAATTACAATAGACCATGATTTTCAAATTCAACCTCACAAAAAAGTTAGGCAAACAAAACAAAAACCTTTCCAAAAAGCATGGAAATTACAGGATAGAAGCTTTTACTGTCAGCAAGGAATTGCCCTTCTCTGAGATAGTGGGAGTGGGAAGAAAAGTTTTTCATTTCAAAATAAAGCACAAATATCTTTATTTTAATCATATCAAGTTTACCATACTTCCATAGAGAGTATTACTTATTCGAATTTTCTTATAATTTAGGCACAAATTCTATGAAAAGTGAGCTGGTTAGTGCTTGTAGAACAAAACCTTTCTGTTCTGGACATCTTCAGAAAGGGAGAAGAGGTAAACTCAGAAACGTATTCGTTTAAACAGTAACAATGAAAAGAAATTTAAAAAGCTTTTCATCATGACCTATGATAAAGAGGGTAAGATTAGCAGTCATTTTAGTCTTCCAGGAGCCAGAAACAGTAAAGTATTTTTCCAGTGAAAGCATTACTTTAGTCTCCCAGGAACAGTATTACATGTGAGTAAACTGAGACTTAGTTACACCAATGAGTTTTCTATGATTTAAGTAGGTTTTTGATATCTCAATGTAAGTGGGTCAAATATGCAAAATTCTGAATCATGTCTCCAACTAGAAGCAGCCAATTGCTCTGTGCCAGTCAGGCATTCAGCAGAAGTGTTACTTAAACAGAGGCAGCCCAAGGCTACTCCTGCTCCCCTTAATTCCCAATGCCATGCTATGCCTTTTATTATGAGACAGTTCTGCCAACACGTGGTGAACCAAATCACGGAATTAAATTTGATGAAATGTAACAAAGAAAGAACAATAATTTCATGAAAGCAGTTTCATGAAGAATTCATCTGATGGATGTAAGAACAGCTGGGCTAGCTTAGAAATGAAGGCAGTGTGAGAGAAGGTGCAAGAAAACAAAGGTGACTGAAGGCTGCTTGAAATGTTGTTACCTCACAGAAACGTGTATCTCTGCCTTTAGAAGGAACAAGAACAAAACCAGAAAACTGACCTCCACCCATCACTTCTCTTCCTTCCTCCTCAAGATCTGAGTGCCTGTACTTTAAATGGTGTGGACAGTAATCAGTGAAATCTGCAAGAAAGTGTACCAATACAAACTCCAGTCCAATTTGACAGAACAGGTTTCATTTAGTAATTTGTATGAACTCCAGAACTGTGAAGTCTCCCAGTTAAATTTATTGTCCTGAATGGCTATTTATAGATTTATGGTTTTTTCAAACCCATTACCTATAATGCTATAGCAAGGTTAATTATCTTCAAAATACTTAAGAAAATCATGGATAAACCCATTAGAACTTACACTCAACTTTGAGGCATTTGAATCTTCTGCCAGAATTCTGAAACATGACGCGGTTGCAACCAACCACTAAAGTCCTGTTTACATTCCAGAAACTTCAACCAATGTAATTAACCCAATCCAATTGCTTAATGTAATAAATAACAGAGGTCAGCTATGGCTGTGCAGGTTCTGATGAACACTTACTACGTTACAGTTCTACACAAGTACAGAAAGATTCTGTCACTTGTTTTTTCACTGGAGGACTTTGGAAGATAACCAAACACTTCCAACAGCTTGCAAGGCAAAAGCTGTGAAATAGCAGGAGCCTGGCCATGGGGGACACTCCTGAGGGCCATGGGGGACACTCCTGAGGGCCATGGGGGACACTCCTGAGGGCCCCATGCTGATTGCTGGGCGAACAAGAGCTCTGCACTAGACCCCAAAGCCCAGGGCTGCACTCCTGTTCACTAGAAGAGTGTCAGACTTCATTTCACATTGGAGCAACAATCTCATATTTGTGTGATTAAAGACTTGGTTATCAGTGCAAAGAAAGTTGATACACGATGTACTATTATGAAACGCTTACAAAATATATAATGCATTCTGGGAATTCCATTTTACTACTAATTTTGTATCAATATTCATAGCATCTGAACATTTTACCACTGAGAGGAGCCCCTAAGACCAAAGCTTTCACAAACCTGCAGCAGTACAGAAGCTGGAACAGTCAGAATTCTCACCATTAAGCAGTAGCACCTCAGTACAAGATTTTATGTCAAGCTAAGACCATCTAAGGACCAGCTGTCACTGCTGAGGCAAGGCTGCTCCTAGCAATGTCTAACATCTGTTCAACTCCCCAGTAATCTGGTTCAGGGAGATAAGCAGGTAGAAAACTACCTCTATACGTAAGTCCTTAACTGATCAGGAGAGGACTGGCCAAGAGCCAGCACAGATGTAAAGCCAATGTAAGAGATGCACGACTGATGATAGGAAGAAGAGAGTTAAAGAGCTCCTTTGGTGTGGGCACTGAACAGGCAATGGTTCCAGTACTAGTAGCTGAAATACATTAAAACCCACATGGAAATCCATCTGCCACCACAGCATCTACTACTGACAGCTAAGTAAGTTAAACTAGCAGAAAACAAACCCAAGAATTACAAGAAAAATAAAGAATAAATTCTTCCAGGTTAATAGGATGAAAAAGCCCAGTGGAGAGTTCATCTGTCCAAAGAGAACAAGTACGAGTGAAGACAGAATTGCACCAAACAACTAGGTTTGTTATGCTGCTCTGGAACCACAACCTGGAAATGCTCAGACATTTACCCAGAAACCTTGCAAGCCCCATCTTGAAATACTTAATGAACAAGATTAAAAAGTTGTCCATGGGGCTGGAACAGAAACACAAGATGTTTCTGTCCGACATGTTAATGTATCATAGACAGAGAAGAAAATATTATCATAATCTAATCCATGGCCTTTCTCCTTCACTAAGCAGCAATCCTCTGTTGACTCCATTTTATGGCTCTGGACTCCTTGCATTCTCTTTAAACTGTCATTTCTCATTTCCAGTTCTCAGATGCCTTATGCCTTCTTGTTCTCATCAAGGGAGCAGTGTATTTTAAACCCCTGTCTTTAGCAAAGCTGCACACACAGAGTTTATAAGTAGATCTAAATTATACCTGCTACAGTAAGTCTACTCCTCTTCCCTTTCCCACCTCACCAGGTATCTGTCCCCACAGCAGACAAGCATTTGTGTGCCATAGTAGGGTTAATCAGTAAATGATTCAGGCAAATAATGGTACTACAAAAGATGATCAATTTTCTGCTAGATCAGCTGCTTGACACAGTGACTCTGTAGACTAAGCACAGAGCCAGCCTAAGGAGAAGGGTAGAGAAATGCAGCTGCAGATGCACATGCATATCCCTGACCCCAGCTACAGACCTGCTCTCACCTATCACATCATGAAGCATAAGCAAGAAGTGCCAGCATTGGCTTTAAGCTCTGGTTTCATTACAGCCTAACACTATCTAAATGCTTGCAAACAAAGACCTATACTTCCTGCACTCAACTGGTCTAATTCCTGCCCACTCTCAAACCAGTTCTGGCAGTCTACCAAGCTGTTTCAGCAGACTAAGATAGCAGAAAACTGTTCATGTTTTATGGTTCAGCTAGTTTCCTGCCAGCTTAGGTATGGAAGGAAGTGGATAAAGCTGCTGCACTGAGCAGTTTGACCAGCTTAGGCTGCTTTGAAACCACCACGTTACTTAGACCAACTCAAAGGCTGTGCTAACACCCATGTCACAGATCAAACAATGCATAGTTCAGTTTAGCTTAAACTGAACTGGAATTGATTTACTGCTTATACAAAAGAAAAATGTTCATTAAGAAGTTCTTCATCAGGTTAATTGGTTTTAAAGCAATTACATTTCTTTTCCTACACCTTTCCTTTAACATAGTCTCACCTGAGCTGTGGAAACTGTTAGCAGGGCAAGTTTGGTTAAAGACCTGCAGCACATCAGCTTCTCTCAGACAAGTGTGAGTTAGACAATACCACAGACTGATCTCCCACACAGGCTCCTCACACCACCAAAAAACCCCAAACAAAGCACGAAGAGCTATGTGCTTCCCTTCAGTATAGGGCCAACTTCCTCAACTACATCCTTTCCAAAACACACAAAGCAAAACCCTGCACAAGTTAACTGCTACCAGTGCAGACCATTGCTGCCACTAGCTCACCAGTTGAGATATCTGATGCATTTTTTCTGCCTTACACAGAGTACAGTAACAGTTCTAAATTTCTGGTTTCTGACTTCTCTGCTGCAGAAATACTGCACTGAACTAACAGAAACTTGTCTCAATACAAATAAGGAGTTCAGGAAGATCCATTATACTAGGCCTGCAATGCAGCCAGCTCTTGGAGAACACATTGATGATTCATTTTTTTGCAAAAAAACTACATATTCAACTATTGTAAAGTTCTACCACTAATTCACAGATCAGGCTGTGTATACAACAGAGAGATAGCTTACAGGCAAGTCTTGAGATTTCTTTACGACCCACATTCTTCACTAAAAAACCACAAACCTATAAGGGCTTGGGGTGGGTGGTTGTTAATCTTGCCCTCAGAATGGTGCCAGCAGGAGTTTATCAACATACACATCAAATTTAACAAACCAACTAGAGCAAATCAGTATCTAGTTAAACAAATATCAATTCCCTTATTATTATTAAAGCAATTCAACCTCTTAGGTTTCATTTTTACTACAGTGATGTACAAAGGCCATTCAGATCACTCCCAGTGGCATTTAAAACACTAAGAGTCCTACTTTGTACAGACCAGTGACTTCCACAAAATGACAGCTTGGGTCAGCCTAAAGTAGCACCGTGGTGAGCCTGGCTTTGTCTTCAGCTGATTCAGGGAGTTGTAGCAACAGCTAAACAGTACAAAAACAGGAGTCTCTGTCTGCCAGGTTAAATCCCTCTGAATTGACCAACTGTAATTGATCAGAGCCCACAAAGCAAGGGAAGTTGGAAGATCATGTGGTTGAGAAGACTGGGAGGTGACTCACACTTTCAATATCCAAGAGATATTAAATCAGTTCACTGTCCTAGGAAACCTCATCTAAACCCTATCAAGAAAAAAAAGTGAAAGGTTTCCTGTGGGCTTGATTCATTGAAACAGCATACCTTGAGGTCAGGCAGCAGAGGAACAAAGGTGAGGAAATTGCAACCTTTGTATGGCTCATACACCTGTTGCTGGGCTGAGTAAATCAGCAGAACTGAAATGCAGAGATCCACCTAAGTAGGTATCAGACTCATAAGAGACTTTTAGACATTGATTATGCCCACGTGGCATAAGCAATAGTTAAGTTCACTTAATGCATGTGAAATTCTTATTAATAGTACTAAGTGGGCCAAAGTCTTTCTAAGGAGAAATGAAACGCCCATTTCATGGGCAGCTAAATAAATCTAGTAACACTTCTGTACCAAGTTTCTCAATGAAAGACTCATCTTACTCACCTTTGGATCGAGTGGAGATGTCCATCCCCTCCACCACCTCCTGCTCTGCCTTTATTTCCTCTTCAGCCAAGCTGCAGGATTCAAAAAAGTGAATTAGAATACTTTAAAGACTTATTCCCATGATTAACTTCCATCCATGAAGTTCAACACAACACTGTCAAACACAACTATAAATTTCTGATGAAATGAAAGGTCTGCTGTTTGCCAGAGCACACACTGATCAAAACACATCCAGAAACAACCCAGGCACATGTGTATGCCGTAAATTACCAACCACAAAGGTAACAGTTTTGTACTACTGACAGTCTTGTAACATGTACTGAAGATTATAGTACTGTATGTAAAAGTTGTATGTGTGTGACAGACAAACAGGAATTCTGTTCCTTGTAGCTCCCAGTCTAAGACAAACCATGTGGACAGATGCCTGCCAACATCTAAATGCTCACCAGCATTCGTGAACAGATTAGCTGAAGTAACAGACTTAGTGACAGAGAGCAACTTGCAAAATTAGAAGGTACAGTAAAAGGTGATTTCAGAAACTATTACATAAATAATTTGAAAGAATTTGAAACTAGACTATATAACAGAAAAACTGAATACTGACAATTTATTGGCAATACAATTCCACCAATTATTAACCATAACAAAGAGCAAACAGAATAGAGTTGTTACTATTATTCATCCATTCAATCTTTCATAGTTTTCATTTGCTCCAGGCAGGATTAAATGATTCAGTACATGACAAACTGCATCTGACTTTCTGAAATTCTACTTTCTTACAGTGATTCCATTCAAGAAAATAACTCAATGAATTTGGCTAGTTAAGTCACTTCGGGGAAAGAAGGTGGAAGGGAGAGAAAAAATGAACTAGAATGAACACTGAGTTACACACCAGTTTTGGAGACCTATCATAGCTGAAAGGTAAAAGAAAACATACATGCAATGCTGAAGAAAGCCCAAATTCAAAATGATTGACAAATGAGGTTATGGTGCCTGAAGCAAGTATCAGTGTCCATTATCAACACCAGAGCACAACAGCCACGAGAGGACTCGGGAGTGACAATTTACTGCTTAGCCTGTTAATGGAAGTTGTTGCTGGTATCGGTTTCCACTGACATGGCAGATCATGAATTTCTGCTGCTATGAAGTGGACTGAGGTCCCACTCAGCCACCCCAGCTCTAGGGACAAAGGGACAGAGAGGCCAACAGGACAGCTAGAGACCTTTGCTTTAGCCCCTGTGTATAAATCTACTCAAGACAACTCATGAGAACTGGGAAACAACAGTGAGGACCTGGTTACATTTATACCAGAGAAACTCTTCAGCCTGACAAACAGTTTATATGAGCAGAAGTTTTGTTACAGGTATAAATTAAAAGAGATTCTTAAACAAAGTAAAACTTAACAGCAGAAGGACTTTTCAGTCTGGTATCTGACAAAACTACTTTCAATCAACTATCAGCTACGGCTTAGGTTACAATTCCTTTCACACTTACACAGTACTGTTATGTCAGCAAACATTTTAAATACAAATTAACTGAGCTCAATGTATGTAAAACCCAAAGTTGAGAAGATCTATGAACTCCAGAAATCATTATTCTTCGATTGCCATTTGTATACAGAAATAATTTACAAATTAAGCTTTTTAAAGTCAAAAAACACTGAAGGGAAGTTCTATTCTACCAGCATCCACCTCCCAGCTCACGGCCTATCCTGGTCATTTCAGAAGCAAGGAAAGGCACTCATGTAACCCAGAATTATGGTAAATGTGTAGCACAGTTGACTGTAGCACAATGCTGCCCAGATTTATTTTGCATGGGCAGATTAAATGCATAACATAGCTGACTGTACCACAATGCTCACCCATTTACTACGCATGGGCAGATCAATTATCCTGCACATTTGTTACACCCTTTCCCAGGGGCCTCCAGCAAAGAGGAGCTGGCAGTGTGCTGCAGACACCGAAACATTTCATGCACCACATGCCTCTGTCCATTCCTCTCCTAAGCAATGGGATGGGTTCATTGTTCTCTTCCAACGCTGCACAGGTTTTATTCTTCCCCTCCCCCTGTATAAAATCCTATTTCAATAACATCAAACTGCAACAAAATCTGTATTTTTAAAACACTGTGTATATGATTAATAATGCATACAGGTAAGTACATAATCATACACACTAATTCTGTAAAGAGTGATGTAATCTGGCAGTGCACATCACCTGCTTTTAAAATACAGATCCAATTTCAGCCACAGACTAGGACATGCAAGTCTTTACAAGCCTCAGGTTGAAGTCCTAAGATCATTTTTCACAAGCTGCTACTAAAACGAATGGTTTCCCCAATCCTTAACTTGCTGTTCCAGAAATCATGTCCATTTTAACCTAATCAGTTCTGCGATCCAGCTCACTGTGCAGCTGGAAGGGAAGAAAATGGGAGAGTACCACACACGGGGAAGGGGGAAATGGCAACATCCTTTTAGCAGGACCTCACATCTAAGTTACAGTAAAACAATCATAATGTTCCAGACTCATCCAAATCCATCAGATGCATTTTGTTCAAATCAAAACCCCAGGAGAACATGACACAACAACAAAGACCCACTAGTTGCTACAAGTCAATACGAAGCTACACAGAATTGTGCATGAATTCTGGCTGAGATAAGGGTGTGATGGATCAAAACAGCCACACTATTGCAGGAACCGTTTCCACTTCCCTGACCAAAGGAGCAGGAGAAGTTTCAGGCTGACTGAGGATGTCCTGTGCCCTTGGGGCCAAACCCAGCACTGTGGGGGTTACAGGTCAGGACTCCTATGTATTAGTTACAGCACAGGAGGTTTCTTCAGCTCTAAATCTGTCTCTCCTCATCTAATGAGTTTAACTTTGGAAACTGTGCCAGTTTCCTCCCTCACCTTTTTGAGTGTTCTTGCAATAGATCTACAGAGAGAAGAAAAAGACCCTTCATAAACAGTTCCAGAAGGAACAAAGTATCTCTGATACAAAGAATTACAGAATGGTTTGGGTTGGAAGGGACTTTGAAGATCACCTAGCTCCAACCTCTGCCATGGGCAGGGATGCAAACATCACAAAGAAGACACCCGAAGCCAACCTCCCTATAGATTTGAAGTATAAATTAACACATGAAAAAGCATTCACCACTTGACACAAAGATTCTCCATCTTCCTCAGCACTGGAGGAGCACATAGCCAATACACACGTGCAGTGTGTCACCCACAACATCCAGCAATTACCTACTACACCATGAAAACTGAGCCTCAAGAGCAACAGATGCATCTCCTACAGATGCATTCTCTACTATAATTAATCTTTTAAGGCCACAAACATTCAAGTGTATACAAAACTCACTGAGATTGTTCTGAAAAAAAAATTACCAAAATGTTGGGAAGGAAAAGTTAAATAAGCGTATTGGACATAGCTATAAAAGCTACTTAACACTCACAGCTCCTCAAAAGCATCTCCCATTGTTTTATTTGCCTTACTATGTAAGGACTTGCACAACCTTACACTGTTTGAAGGGTGGCAGCGAGGACTACAGTGGTCATCCTTGAGACTCCAGTTTGTAAATACATGCAAGCAATTCACAGCAAGTTCACAGTAACTTTTTGAAAGCTGCCAGATGTTTTCACCTTCCACCAAGGTAAGGAATAAGATTCTGAGAATGCAGAAATTTCATTAGCAAAAGATTTCCAATTAAATAAGTCAAGAAAAATAGGTCTTTAATCAGAGGTACCTTACTATTACCCACAACAAAATCCAAGTAAAATTCAGACCAGCAGCAAACAATTACAAACAAGCATCTAGTTCTATGGAAACAATAACTGTGTGATCAAGTAGACTATTCCAGAGAGTTTTATTTTGAGCATTCATTTTTGCAGGGCTCAGAGCACTTATTTCAGGATGCATTACTGTCATGCATGTATGAATGTGATGCTCCGAGGCTGCAGATCAGAAATGAGACTGGAATATACTCAATTAAGTACCTACATGAACACAATAAACACCTCATGTCTTTCTGAAAGCTACTCTTACTTCCTCATTAAGATGAATGAGCACAGAGGAACATGTTTTAAGAACACAACTGAAATTTAAGCTTTGCCAGTTTCCCTGTCAATTGACCAGAACACCAATTAATCATTTAAAACTTCCCTTCTCATACTGACAAAACTTTAAAAAAAAAAAAAGAAAGAAAAAATAAGAAATTGTTTTCTAAAATGTTAAACTAATTTGCTACATACAAATTAGTTTAACATGTCTGAATGAGGGTAGAAGGGGTGGAGGTTATTCCTTTGGGGATAGTTGGGCACAGAAAGATAAAAAAATAAGGATTGCAAACATACAGGATTTCTTGATACTTAGGTAAAAATGGAAGAAGAACTTAGCTCCCTCATTTTTAAACATGTTCTCTACTAAACTGAAGAGAGAGTGGGGTTTTTCTAACATAAAATTCAGTTTTTCAAATTTCACACCACTAAATAAAACACTGACTTTTCTGTTTAGAAAAATCATTCCTATACTAATAGTAGTACTTACCTGGAAAAAAAACCAAAAAGTACATATACAAGAATTTTTAAAGCTGCTCTAACCTACATTAACTACAAAGAGCAATTAAAAGTTGCAGATGAACTACTGCACCTTGACATTTAACCAAGAAAAACTGACAGATATGGCAAACCACTCGAAACAGCTAATGCCCACAGACACAGACTAGATCTACATCAGGGAATAACACATTCATTTCAAATCAAGAACTATATACTTATGGAATTCATTTCTCCTTTTAATTAACACACCACCAAAAAAAAAAAAAAAAAAAAAAAAAAAAAAAAAAAGAACCCAGAAAAATAAAACCTCCTTTAAAACCAGAAGCACTCAAACTGAATTTCATCCTTAAGACAATTCCTGCCTCTCCTATAGCACAATTTGGGAGCAGCAATGCTAAATAATGATGCCGAAAAAAACCTGCATTCAATAAAAACCTGACCAAAAAAAATAAATAAATAAATAAAAAAATATTTGCATGCCATTGCTGAATAAATAGCAGCTTTGTATAAAGCAC